TATCTACAGTGGCACTTAATCACCTCTTTTTATTCCCAAGAATCCAATGTTGTGACAGTTTCCCAGCTTCTTTTGCAACAGCTAGGAAGATTTTTTAATAAAACAAATGGCTGCCTGGTGACTGATTGAGTCACCCATGATTGTGTATTGCTACATAGGGGTGAACTGCTTGCTCTGTGGAGCAGCTGACTTGGTCAGTTGTGTTATGCAAACAAGGACCAGACAGGTGGTTGGCGTACTCCACGTCTCATCAATTCAACAGGGTCATTGGCTGGGATCCAAGAGGCATGTCTTCTCTGTTCCAGCGACTGCTCTATGGGACATTTCCCTCAACCCCCCTGAGATTCAGCTGCCCCCAACCTACCAGCCTTTAAGAAGGCTCTGAAGACCTGGTTCTTCCCCCAGGCACTGGGCCAACATCTTATATGAGCCCACTGTAAATATAGGTGGTTTGTGTTTTGTTCCTGACACATTGTGTATTTTACCATTTTTCATTTTTTGAATATACTGTGATTTTTGTTTGCAGAGTCTCTTGATCAGCGGGCAGTCATATGAACTGAATGAATACACAAATAAATAATCTTAGCACAACTTACCTCATATATAGATCATTTCACATACCACACCATACTTTGAATGGGACCTCAAGCAGTAGCCTTCATCCTAACCAAGGCTCTCTCTGTCTGGCATCTCCCACCCTTTTCTAGAGGATTCTGGTTAAGGGATACCTCTGTGAAAAAAGCAAAATAGCAAAAAATAGCAAAATAGCAAAAATATTCAGCAAGATAATGCAATTAAGCTGCAAAACCTTACCCAGAATTTATTTCTTTCTTTCTTCCTTCCTTCCTTCCATCCCTCTCCCTCCCCTCTGCTTGTTTTCTTTCTGTTCTCTTCTTAATCCCTGCTGTAACTAAATCAAGGTGGTGGATTGGGACATAATAAAGATCCAGTAATGAGGTCATGATGGAGCACAATCCGAAGTGTGGAAGCAGCCAAGTCCACCCAGTCCAGGCATTTGCTCTTTTTGTTTGTTTTCCCTCACTTTATTGAGAACACATTTGGAAGCTCCTTAACATGTGAATATTGAAAGGAGAAAATAGGCCAACATGGGTGACAACTGTGGAACAAACACACGTTTGATGGTTCACATCACAAACACTGCTAGTTCCACAGAACCTCTCTCAAGAGATTTTGGATACTGTTTGAAGATATAGTCCTGACATAACCCTGGGCTTCATTTAAGCTGGGGTATTCCAGTTCACATTGGAGAATCAGCTCTGAGTATGTAAACTGCCAATAAAGGAACAATAATAAAAAGAGTGCTGATGAATGCTGCAGAATACATTTCCTGCCAAAACAACAGAGGGCAGGTCCCAAAGCAGTTGGATAAGTGATGTATGGTCTGATAGCAACAGGCTTCTCTCCACAAACTGGAATAAACCACTTAAACAGCTCACAAGAAATCCAAGAAGTTCAGAGAAGGGATATTTGTTCAAGCAAGTAGGAAGCCATTACCAAAAGAATTGCAGCAACTGCTGTAATTCAAGAACTACCGTGTCTGTGTGTGTGTGTGTGTGTGTGTCTGTGTGCATTAATAAATAAAAAGGTTCAAATTCTCTTGCATTTAGTTTTTCTTCCTGTCCTACCTCATGGACTACTCGCCTCCTCTTCATCTCTCTTTTAACAGTCAGGTGTGCCATAACCTTGTTTTTCATGCACTGTGTAAGTGGTACTGTCACAGTGTGCTATGTGAACACACTATTGTTGGGGCTTTCAATTTAGTGTGTAGTGTGAATTGCAGTTTATTCAGTGAAATATGATTGAACAAGCCATGGCTAAGGGCAATGTGTGAATCCAGTTTAGGAGACAGAATAATTGCCACATTAATTTCTGATTGGTGAAAGAAACTAAGGTCTGGAGAGGAATTAGCGTAGTAGCTTCCGGAACTAGAATTTCCTAGGGGGAGTATGATAATTGCAACAGTTACTAAGTAAAACCAGCTGGTAACCCAAGGACTGGGGTGCCCGGAAAGGAATGGGAAAGTGGAAATTCTACTCATGTTCCTGCCATCAGTCAAATGAACTGAATGAGAATGTTAGGTGGTTATTTAAAGACCAGAGGGTGGTAAAAGGAAACCACTGAAATAAATCTGATGTGGGTCATATTCACATATTACTCTGGTTAACTTAACCTTATTTACTCAATTAGCCCAGTTGCAAAGTTCACATGATATACCGTACTGTCTGGGTTGGCATCATACCAGGCTAAAATGAGATTGGCCAGTTTGTGGCTCAGTGTGTGACGTAAAGATGCTTGTTTTGGAATATATCTAGAAGACCAGGCCATTGAAGGATTAAGGGAAGAGGGTTTTTTACATCAACACATTTTGTGTAGCGGTTCTTCAGCAATTCATTTGTCTTCCAGCCTGGTTAACAAATCTTGTTTAATTAAAAAGGGGAGAAAACAAGTCCAGATCTCCAGGTTAGCACTCTTGTCTTGAAGGACCAACACAGAAACTCTCAATCAGGTTGAAACCTTGGCCAATATCTTGCTAAGAATAACAGCCAAATCTTGGCGTTCTTTATGAAGACAAGATTCTGCCTTTAGCAAGGCTGCTATGAAATCCACATGATTTTATTGGTGTCATTCCAAGATAAAATTTGACTACAAGATTATTTAACTGGAGCCAGAACCTTTTGCAGCATGAAGTCAACAGGGATCAGGACAGTGTTTGCGAAGACATAAAATCCCTGTGCAGAAAAATGTGTAATGTGTAAGCCCAGCAGAACTTTACAGTGTCAGGTGCAGTTAACGTATGGAAGTCCTTCAACAGAAAGTTGTTATAGTACAAGAATAAAGGGTCTTCAGCAAAGGATGAATTAAAAACCTGGAGGAGAAGTGTACTAGGGACTAATAACCATCACTACCAGAGTTACCACATCTATATTTAGAGATGTAGTATTACATCATATGGGAAAAGATTTAGCAAATTCTTACCTTGGTTGCTAATTTTTCTGAGGCAGGAGATCAACTGCTCTTGGAAGCAAAGGCAGCTGAGCCAAATGAATCCCTAATTCAAACAGCACGGCCATTTTATGTTGTTAGTGCATAGAATGGTTGGGGGGGGGGAGGAGAGGCAG